GCTCAGTTGCTACAGAACAGGCCTTCCCCCCATCAGCTTTCTCCCAATCCTCCAGTGAGCCCTGGATATTTCATTCTTTTCTGCCACCTGATGAGGCAATGTAGGGATCAAAAAGAGCCCTAAAGATTAAAAGCAAGGTGGCTGAGATCCAGGGGGGTTGCTGTGGCCCAACCCTGGGTGTGGGGCAGCCCACGACGCTGTGAATGTAAGAAACCTGGGACTCCTCCTTCCCAAGAAGGCCAGCAACAGCTCTCCCAGGGCTATCATCATGGGTTCCATTCAATGCAATCTCTGCAAGGGATTTCCCTGGGAAAGTAGCCGAAAACACAGGCATAAAACTTTAAGATGTGTGGGTAGTTATTTTGAGGGTGATGTGTCTTGAGGACTTGACGCCCAGGCGAATTTAAAAATAAGCAGGTTTCCAACTCTAAGGATGGGCCAATCTTGGAGGTTATTGAGTAAAAAGTCAACACCGTAAAGTCAATTACACTATTGACAGATACTCTTACAAGGAGATTTCACATCATAATTATATGCAAAGGAACCTAGCAAATAGAAGCTGTGTAATGATCAGCTAATAAAAGTAACACTTCATCTATGTCAATAACAGTTTCAGAGTTAAGACAAACAAACATGGCCTTTGCCACTCAGTGGAGGGAAAAAAAAAATCCCTGAAAGACAAATATTTTCACTTAAGGAGAAGTCGCTTAGACTCACAAGGAAAACCTGTCACACAGAAGACAGTGGGAAATTGGTCTTTAGTGGGTGCTAATGACTCCCCCACCCTCCCTGGGCCCCAGCTGAACAGACTGGGGCAGCAACCCCTGTAAACATCTGGGCACACACGGAACACTTGGGCACTGCCATGTGGTCTGGGAGATAACATTCTGTATTGTTCTAGTCTCCACTGGACTGCTTGCCCTTTCAGCCTTGGCTGAGTTTGGGTTCCACTGACATGTGGCCAAATTAAAAAATGTTAAAATTATGATGAATGTGAAAATGCAAAACAAGATTTTTTTTCTTTCAAGCATTTAATGGGTTTTACACAGACACTGATTAGGCAAATGCCTCCATAGCTATGTTTGTGTTCCTTCTTTCCAAAAGCATCTCAGTGTCTACTACTTGCCCTACAAAAAGAGGGCAAAGATACTACAAGCAAGTACCCCTCATTTCTAGAGCTTGCTACCCCTCTTCCCCTAATTTCCCTTAAAACTGAAGGGAGCAAGTTCAGAATTGGCATTTGTACAACTAACTGCTAATGCACAATGGTTTTCTTTACTGGTTATCTCTCTCTCACTCTCTTTTTTTGTTGTTGTTTTGTTTTTTTGTTTTGTTTTTACAGAGTCTTGCTCTATTGCCCAGCAGGCTGGAGTGCAATGGCACAATTTCTGCTCACTGCAACCTCCACCTCCTTGGTTCAGGGGATTCTCCCATCTCAGCCTCCTGAGTAGCTGGGACTACAGGCACACACTATCATGCCCAGCTAATTTTTGTATTTTCAGTAGAGATGATGTTTCACCATGATGGCCAGGCTGGTCTCAAGAACTCCTGACCTCAGGTGATCCGCCTGCCTCGGCCTCCCAAAGTGCTGGGATTACAGGTGTGAGCCATCGTGCCTGGCCTCTTTACTGGTTATCTCTATTTATGCAAATGGTAACTTGCCTAGTTTCTGCAAACTATGGTTGCACATTTTACCAAAACGATTTTGTTCAAAATTCCTATGATGCTCAGGAAAGTCACTCTTTAATTAGACTCTACGTGCCTTTGTAGTGGCAGACATGAAGCAAGCTGTGCCATTACAAAGCTATTGCCACTCAGTCTCAAACCCACCCTTCTACTGTTTCCCACACTGGGGCTGGACTTTACCACCGGGCTCCATGTGAGGCTCTGCCACCAGGGGGTGCCATAGAGAGACTGAGAAGGTGGTGGAGGAAGATGGAAGTGGCTCCTGCCTGTTTCGTGTTCTTGAGCCACCCAGCAATGCCTGTGCACCTCGGCAGCAGCATTCGTTCTTGGAGTTGCCAAACCCAGTTTGCAGTTTTTCCAGCACCTGCAGAACTATGTTCCCTTAGAGGCACCAGCACCATCAGAGGCTGCTTCCTAGCCCCTGCCCCCCATGCAAAGGTGAGTTTCAGCTCTGCCCTTTGTTTCCAACCTCTTCCCTTTGTTCCCTCAGCCCTAGAGGTGGTAGCTGCCTCCTGCAATTACTCTCTCCATGACACCCTGAGTTATCTCTTTATCCTTTCCGTTACCTAGTTAATAACTTCCTACCTGGTTCACAGGTTTGCTTTCTTTCTAATCATTTTGATTTTTACATGGTCTCACTCTGTCACCCAGGCTGGAATGCAGTGGAGCAATCTCAGCTCACTGCAGTCTTGATCTCCCAGGCTCAAGGGATCCTCCCACCTCAGCATGCAGAGTAGCTAGGACCACAGGTGTGTGCCACCATGCCCAGGTCTTTTTTTTTTTTTTTTTTTTTAAATAATAGAGATAAGGTTTCGCCATGTTGCCCAGGCTGGTCTCAAATTCCTGAGCTCAAGTGATCCACCCACCTGAGCCTCTCAGTGTTGGGGTTACAGGTGTGAGTCAACGTGCCCGGCCTCAGCGAATTTTTGAACTTTTTGTAGAGCTGGGGGTCTCTCTCTGTTGCTCAGGCTGGTCTCTAACTCCTGGCCTCAAGTGATCCTCCTGCCTCAGCCTCTCCAAGTGCTGAGATTATAGACATGAGCCACCACACCCAGCCCTGGTTAACATTAAAGTCTCTCTGGTACTTGGTGTGGTTTCTGTCTCCCTACTGAACCTGTCTGAGACCCAAGTCTGGCTCCGAGGCTGTTTTGTTTTCTTTTACTTTGGAAGGAGCCCAGCTGAGGCACTCACTGGACTGGATGAGCGGCAACTTTCAACAGAAACAAGACTGTTTTGCTGCAGTGCTTTGTTATTCTCTAACCAGAAAGAAACCATCGGTAGTTGAAATAACACCTCAAGAGGGAACTAACCAGTAAAATTTGTCATAATAAATGCCATGAGAGTAAGAATTAAAATAAGAAGGCGGCTCCTGTTGAAGGTCAACCTGTCGTCTGCCAGGCTTTTCTGTGCCCTTCTATAAGGCATGGCTGGGCCCATAGGGAAAGCTACTCTTGAAGGCACTAAAAAAGATGGTCAAGAGGATAAACTGTAAGTCTATATTTAGAATCTGCTAATAAAAATACATTGTTGCTGCAAGTGAAAATAGTTCACAGTCTCCAAGTCTTCTCAACCAAGAAGGTAAACTATGAGGCAACAGAGGAAAGATTTTAAGAGAGAATGAAAAACAGAGAATGTCTTTTTCAAAAATGTGAGGCAAGAGCATTGGAATTTTGGCTTCATGGAAAGAGGCTTACCACTTAGAAACTCAAGAATTACTGACCTGAGAGTAGCCAGGACAGATACCGGAAAGGGACAAGAAAAACCTGTCCATGTATTTTTGGAAAATATCCCCTTGTCAGATTAGTAGGAATGATAAGTGGTTTTATAATTTGTTACTACTCTAATTACTAACAACTTCCCATCTTATCAGAAGCTATAGACCTTTGCTCTGAAGATTATGGGACTTGTCCTGACAACAGCAGGAGGAGTTAAAAGACAAGCTCGTGGAGAAGCTGCACACGGCAGGGGAGTTTGACCTTGCTTCTCCCTCAGGCCCAGCTAAACACACTTTCTGGGCTGGTTTCCTTTTGGACATAAAACACTATGAAAGCAAAATGGCCTTCAGGTGCAAACTTGATCCGTAAATGCAGAAGGAGAGGGATGGTGCCTTCAAGGGATGCAGCTCAGTGAGATAGGCTTTTTCTAAACAAGCAACCAGGGCCTGGCATCTGCAACGGTGATGAGGCATCAGCCAACTTACTGAGACCTAGCCCTCATCCTCAGGACGCAAAGTGCCCAGGACAGAAAGGGACACACAGAGAAACTGCTACCATACAGGGTCATTCACTGAAGGGCTACAACCAAAGCATGGGGCTAATTGGTTCACGGCAAAGAGAAGTTTCTCTGCTGCTGGCTCCCAGACCACATTAAAAAAAGCATCGGGAAGGGATCACCTTTGTGCCAGATCTTGAAGGACGTGCTGCCTTGCATATGAGGGTGAGGGGAATCTACACGAAGAAAACTGTATGAGTCAGATGGGCCAATACTGGGCATATTTGGGGAACACATTTGGCTTAAGGAGAAGGAAGGACTGTCAGGGTGGTGCAGGGGTAGTCACAGAAGGGGCTTCTGCAGACAGCTGGAGGGGCACGGTGTTAGGACACCGGTCTGGCAGTGGTGGATGGATGGACAGGAGTGGGCGTAGAAGCAGCTGGCGGACGGGAGGAGGCTCCGGCAGTGGTGCCTGTGAGGGCTGTGGGCTGGCGGCGGACCCTGATCCGGGGCTGGCAGTGGAGATGGAGAGCATGGAGGAGAGAAATGTCCCAAGGAAGGGTTCATGCGGCTTGGCAGCTGACCTCATTCTTGGAAGCAGGGGAATGATGCCACCTGCTATTTATAGACCACGTACCAAAGCTCGCCTCACATCTGATTTTGCATTTGATTTTCCCTGCAACCCCTGGTAGGAGGCAGTTTTCACAGATGAGGGAACCGAGCCCAGAGTCACAGGATAGGGAAGGGACGGGGCTGGTTCTCGCGCTAGGCCTGTTAGCCTAGAATCCAATTAATATCCTGCCTTCCATTTCCTTCTACCCACCTCTTACCCTGCCTTCCTAGAATAAAAAAAAAATGAATTTAACTTGCCCCCATCTCCTCATCTGTAAAGAGACCGGGATCATCTGGTGGCCGAGAAAGAGAAGGTGGCATTCGGATTGGGAGTTCTTGGGGTTACTTTCACGTTTCTGAGCACCCAAACCAGGTTTACTGTCGCCACTAGTTCGAAGCAGCTCTTCTCTGTCTCCAGAAGCGACCCTGTGGACAGAAAGCTGCCCTTCCCACTCCCCGGGCTGGCTCTGCCGGGCACACTCTCCGCTTACCTCATGGCTGCCGTCACCCCAATGGGAGTGATTGGCAGTGGCCGCACGCCAGGAAACAGCCCTCGGCTCAGGACCCGCGCTCCGTTTTGGATCACTCCTGGAGGAACTGAAAAAGCAAAGGGGAGAAAGACACTGCACGTGAATTCAACTGTGAAGATTTCTGTTCTAAGTCAGAAATTCTGGATGGACCAATAAGAGAGAAAGAGACAGAGGGCAGAGAACATGTGTGGAGCAGAGACAGAGAGAAACACACACACACACACACACATGCGTATACATGCACACACACAGGCACACATACAGCCACACAGACACACACACACACAGTCACGCACACACACACGCACGCAGACACATGTGCACACACCCGCACATACAGACATGAACACACACACAGACATATGCGTGCACACACACACGGGGAAAGAGAAATAGAAAGAGATACCCAGAGAGTAAGACAGAAAGATCATCTGGTAAGTAAAAATCAGACTAGCAGCTCACAACCAAAGGATTAATGTCTAGGTTAAAAAAAAAAAAAAAAGTGAGTTTTCAAAAGTAGGCTTTAAATATTATTTTCTCACATTTATTAAATATAACCTTTTTCCTTCAGTCAGACCCTAACAACAACTCAAAAACCCCAACCCTATAGGACAGACACCAGGTGACCAAATAAAAGCACCTCCCCATGCTTTGCCATGGGCAGAAGCTGAGAACATCTTTCCATTTATCTTTAATCCAACAAGGGGAAAAAAATGACCCAAATTGTCTCGTAAAAGCCGATTTTACAAGCTACTTGGCACCTCAGCACACACTACACAGTTCATCCCCCAGGGGATCCTCGTGGCCTGAGGAAAGGCCCCTTCCCGGGGTACCCTCTCAAGCAAATCTCCTGAGAAGTCGCTCCTCATCCCACCTTCTCCTAAACACACACATCCCTGGAGCAACCCTAAGCCCCTCTTTCACCAGCGGCCATCAGATCTTGTCCATTCTCCATACAAACTCCAAGATCTCCACACCAACCTGATTTTGTCTGAGGGTTACCTAAGAGGAGAAACGCAGGGAATCCCTGATGTAACCTTTTCTGACCTTCCAAATAGCAATTTCATCTGGTTCAAACTAATATTCTGCCATCTGCTGTATCTACCAGGAACTCGCCCTGTGTCTGAGGAGCAGAGGAGCATCACTAAGTGAGAACACGGGTGAGCTTTCATCTGAGTTCTCTGGTGTGACTCTGTGCAGGTCTCTGGATCTCTGTTTCCCTCTCTGAACACTGTTCTCCCACGACCCTGTCTGCCATCATGGGTTCAAGACTCCCCAGAGCTCTGGCTGTGCCCATATAGTCCCTGGCACAGTCTCAGATAGTGGCAAGGTGGATAACTAGTGCTTTTTCAAACAAAGACCATCGAAAAGGCTCTAGAAAACTATGCATTCCAAAATGAAAACCACTCTGGACATTAGGTGTGTAAGCCAGTATTAAATGGGTAGAATGCAAGCTTTTCACAAAAAACATTGCCATACAGACTTTTTACTTACATAATTTTTAGGTATCTAAGGACATGTTTTCAAACCTTGAATCAAACATCACATAGGATGAACGTTCACCATTGAATACGGGGTAATTTTATAGACTGTCAATTCTTTGGGTATTCTAAACCTCTTGCTAATAATTTTTGCCATTTATTTTCCCGGTTTGCATAAGGCCTTTGTTACTAGGTCTTATAAAAGGTAGGATGGGTGAGAGAATGGAAACTCTCGCCTAAGTCAGTACTACTATTACAGTCCAGTGTTCCATAATCTCCCGTCACCCTAATGAATTGTGAGGGCAGGCAGACCCAGATCAGTAGCTCCTACCATTCCTGATTATCAGCCTGATTCCCGCTAACAGACCACCTTATCTGAGGCAGGAGACTTACCAAGTATCTTTAAATCATAGAACTGTTAGAATGTGGTATGCAGTGAATTATCATGTCTTACACAGTTGATGAATTCTCTATAAGGAAGAATGTCTAAAGTTTATATTACCTAATTTATCTGATTTCAAGATTTCCTATAAAGTTACAGAAACCAGGACACTGTCATACTGGCGTAAGTCTAGACATACAGACCAATCGAACAGAAGAGAATTCGGAAACAGAGTCACACACATGTGGTCAACTGATTTTTGACAAGGGTACCAGGACAATGCAAAGAGGGAAAAGCAAGTGTTAGAACAACCAGAGATCCATTTGGGAAAAAAAATGAACCTTGAGCCTTACACCTCATACCACACATAAAAATTAGAAATGGATCATAAACCTAAATGTAGGAACTAAAATTACAAAACATCCAGTAGAAAATATAGGAGGAAAAATAGCAATAATTCTCAAGGACAGACATATGCAGAAGACAGCAGAACTCTTGTAGATAGATGCTTTGGATGAAATATTATATGTGTTGCCTAAAACGACAGCTTTTTGTTTGCCCATTTTGGGGACTGTGGGAGAGGGTCTGCGTAATTTTGGTGTACGGCAGTCTCCTAGAAATGGTCAGATAGCCACAGGTTCAGCTGAATTCTGATCGAATATATCTGTCACTAGGGATGTCAAGCAGAGCAGCAACTTAGTCTGATATAATGAACCATGCTGATAAATAACTTAAATATGTAAAATCTCTAATACAGTTTAATTCTTGTCAGTAAAAATTATTACAGTCCCATATACAGATACTAAAACTTTTACCAAGTACTTTCCTATGTATTAGATGATGGAGACATAAGGTAACTACGGGCAAGAGGGAGGGGGAGATCGAGAGAGAGAGAGAGAGAGAGAGAGAGAGAGAGAGAATTAAGGAGGCAATGAAAATATACTATGGTAAGTGCTAGGACAGGGGGCCTAGAGGCAGAAAGGATGGAGACACCTAACCCAAACTAAGGGGTATTAGGGAAGGCTTCCTGTAGGAAGTGCCATCTAAACTGGAGTTCAAAGGCAGAAAAATGGCACATACAAAGACCTGGAAGTGATTTTTTAAGGATGCACAATGTGCTCAAGGAACTAAAAGGTTGCTTGGTACAGCACACAATCCTAGCAGAAGATGTGTTTGGACTTTATCCCATGGGTATCGGGAAATCCATTAAGGCGTTTTGAGCAGAGAAGTGCCCTGTGCCGCAGCAGCTGACAGCCAGGCTCTGGAAACCAACCTAGGTCTATAGCCCATCTCTGTCAATTACTCATCATGTCTGCTGAGCAAGCTACTTAAACTCCGTAAGATGGGGGACAAAAATGACATTTACCCAGGGTCTCTGGAGACTTAAGTGAGTTAATGAAGGCATGAGTATTTGGAAAATGCATGTTAGTTATCAATATTGTCATCATCAACACGATCAACATCCACAGAGGAATCCTGAGGCAGCCTGTGCTTTCCCCATTTCAGAGGAGCTGAAAACTCATCAAGAACAGAATGGGACAAAATCAGACCACGCCGGAAGAATGTAGCCATCTTCCTGGTGACAGAGTTGCTGGGACAGCAACAGGTGCTGTTATGGCACTTCTGTTCCCCTTGTGCGTGTCATATCAGAGCCACCCGTGCAGCAGCAACACCCAAAACACATCAAGTTGGACAAAGACCAGGGAAGCCCTGGAATGGGAACAGAGCAAATCCAAGTTAGGGAGCGCAAGTTCTTATTAACCTTGGCATGGTCGTCAAGGCATCTGCCAATCAAGGAGAAAAGCACCCCTGGGGACAGTGTGGCATGACAGAGTCCTCTGCCCAAATGCTCAGAACCTGTAAGCACCAGGGGTACGGCCAGCAGAAAGGAAAACTAGGAAAGGAAGCCAGTCGTCACCAAGTTCCTACTGGAGACCATGTTCTTTGGATGTTCCTTGTCTCATGGAACCCTCAGGGATGAGGTATGCTGCAGTGGTTAAGAGTGTAAGCTCTGAGCCACACAGCCTCAGTTCGGCCTTGGCCTAGTGCCTTCACCTTCCTGGGCCTCCATTTCCTCACTGGTGAAGCAGACTTAAACATACCTTGTAGGATTGCTCTGAGAATGAAATAAGATAAGCTACATCAACTGCTTAGCTCAGTGGCTGGCTCGTTATGTAAGCTCATCATCGTCATCATCACCGTCATCCTTCTGCCATCCTATATCACCTCTCTGGCATCCTCTTACTGATGATCTACAAGGACAGGGCTGAATGGGGTCAGAACATGGGGAAATACTTTCAGCCCATTATGCTTTTTGTAGTTATTCCTAACTCCGCCTTTACCTATTAAAACATCTTCCTGATTAAGGAACAGCACTCATTTCAAAGAGAATCTCATGGACAAAGCTCTCTTGAAGCATTAATAGGCTTTCCCTGAGCTATTTCCTGAACCTCACAAGACTTCTGGCATGTCGACTCAGCTCTTCCTCTGAATCCTGCAGCTTGTTCTCAAATGAGCTGCAACTAAACGCTGCCTCTGCCAACCCTGGCACTTCTCCGTCCTCATCATTGGCAGTGCTCTCCATGGAGAGATGGAGGCTGTGTTCGTGTTTGCTCACCAGCTGCCAGAAACCAGCTGTGACACTTAACCGCACCCCTGCCTTTCTCCTTTCTGCCCCCATCCCCAAGTGTCAGGAACATGGCTTCTGAAGAACAAGTCACAGCCAGTCTAAAATGGCTCTGTTAGAGAAAGGCATTCTGAGGCCCACAGTTCACTACCTACATTAGGAAGCTTGGTGGGAACATGAGTCGATCCTTCAGCCCTTTCTCTACCAGCACATCTACTCTTTCCCTTCGTTTTACTCTGTTTCCCTCAGAGCACACGAAGACACCGAAAGACCAAAACCTCACAGCCAATCTGCCGCCCCCGATGTACTGAAATGCACTGGCCTCCAGCTATGTAAGACATCAAAAGGGCTCGATGTTCAAAGTCAACTTCTCCCTCGGATTTGTGGCTCTCTCCAGACAAGGCCCAGGCCTCCAGCATCATCCCTGCAAGTTAGGCCAGTTACGTATCTGTCTTTTAGATGGGAGAATACCCACCCCTGAGGCTCTCAGGATGAGGGACGTTGGCACCACACTTTCCCACACTTGCCATCAACCACGTTCTCAGATGTTAGAGAGGAACTCGAAGCTTTCTGGTTTTAACTAGCAAGAAGGCAACCTTCACACATAAGAAGAGAGCCAAACAGAGCAGCACCGCTCACTGTAGATGCTGTGATCTAAATGGGATAACGCAATCCTGAGCATCTTAAAAAAAAAAAAAAAAAGTCTAAGGTCCAGGACAAACCCCTCCACACTACATCGACCCTCAGCACTTCCCCGGCTCCCCTCCTGAGGCTTAGCTTCCTTGCTGTTTCACAACTTCTAAAATTAACCTCTGAGCTCTTGCCGCTGCCTTTGGAGGGCAGCCCTGGCTAACTCTCTCAGAGGCCATAAGCTGAGCAGCAGGTGATTCCGCTAATCCTTCCCCTTCCTAAAGTCGGCCTTTCCACCTGCTTACTTGGAAGCGCACTGGGGAGGGGGCTGGCACGGGGAGACACAGCCTATTTCCTGGTTGTGCTCCCTCTGCTGTGCCTGGTGTGTCTGACATACATCCCAGTTCCAGGCAGGGGGAGGAACGCCTTCCCCCAATCCCTCCCCTTCCCTTGTTCCATTTTGTTGTTTTGTTTATTATCTAGAGTTCGTCTCTGGGAACCTTCCAAACAGGGATTATATAAGCCTTTGAAGATGAGTAATGGAGATCTGGCTTCTCCTGACTAACGAGTCCTCCATTGGGGTTAAAGCTGACTCACGGGGCTTGTCAAAGGGGAACTCGCTGCAAAGCAGGTACTTAAGGAGATACTAGAAGCTGGAATTAGTCTACATAGCCATTTTGAGGGTGGGGAGGGTGGGGTAGGCAGAAGGATTTGACTGGAGCATAATCTAAAGTCCGGGAGGTAATGAGCCAGCCATGTCCCACGCTGACTGTTCTGAAGGCAGCGTCCTATACAGCACGTGAGACATGGTGGCTCTCCTTGCAGAATGTTTCCTGTGCTGCAAACAGGCAAAGTCTAAAAAGGCTAATGTCACATGCACAGCGGATGCTGCCAGGAGGACAAAATGTTGCAGCCTGAGGTTTTTACTAGGTGCACACTGCTGCTGCACTGCAAGTGAAGCATTAGACTGAAATGAGAGGTGGAGGGACCCACAGGGACTCCAGCCCAAGCAAGACACTGTGTGCTGGGCTCCCTTGGGGCAACGCAGACCCTCCAACGATAAAGAGGCCTGCTCTGCCTGGGGCTCTCAACAGCATCTGAGCCATTTCCTTTGTGCAACCTACTCAGCTTCAGACCCTGGACTGTGGCCAGTCTGCTGGCCTTGTGCTAGCTTTACAGATGCTGAGCAAGGGTAGGAGGAAGAGAAAAGATCTAAGTGGCTGCCATCTGGTGACCTGGAGTGGCTATGAAGGGTGAGGACAAAGGAAAAGCCTTCCAGCCATCAGGCCAGCCTCTATCTGCTGGGAGCAGAACAGCAGCAGAAGAGACTGGGTTGGTGGCCCCCATGCAAGCAGGGGCATCTAGCAGCCCGAGAGGTGAAAACAAGGGGCTATAAATAGCACTGCACGAGGAAGCTCTATAAACGGGGCCCAGCCACAGCACCAGCCCACGGGGGAACACAGACAGGCTCTGCGCAGACAGGAAATGTGTTGCTCTCGGAAGCCACACTCCCCACTCACGGGCAGCGGCAGGACCCCTCAACCTGGAGAAGACCTGGGAGATATCCACACTGGGACACGGGCACACAAACATCCCTACATAGGCTGCTCACACACCATCACTGTCGCTGGCTGGCTGGCTGTTGCCTTTAACCATTTTTGCACAGGAATAGCCTCTCACTTTTTCCAGGCCTTGGGCGATGCCGGCAGGGCAGGGGATGACTGCCTAATCATTCTGTCTGTAGTGCTTTTCCCTTAAGGCAAAGGACTGCCTCAAATCCCAAGAAAAATAACGTTATACAACGTGAAATGAAAAGAAAGGTGGCAGGGGCCAGGGGCATGGAGAAAGAGTGAAGCCAGAAACAGCTAACCACAAGCTGCAGATATATTCCTCCGGTTGGGTTTATGGGCAGGATCGGCCAGCTTGACTTCCCAAGTGCACAGAGAAGACGCTCCGTGCATCTTCACTCCCTTGCAAAGGTACTGCTCCAATCCTCGGGGTCCTTACAACCTGCCCCTTGACTATGCTTGCCCTTGACCTCCAGGGCATTGAACCAGGGCTGGCGGTCAGATGGGACAGTGAATGCAAAGGTGGTGTCCCTACTCTCTGCCCAGTCTTCACATTTACTTTTCTGTTACTCCTGTCCATGAGCATCTCCTTCTATGACCTTTGGAGGCACCCTGGGTTCTTTCCTTCCACTGTCTTGGAGCTCCATTCTTGGCCTGGGGCTTTCATGAAGGCTGTGGCTGGATTTCTCACACAGCGGTAATAGCCTTCTAAAAAAAGCCTTCTAAAAATGAGCCTACAGCTTCAAAATATGAACACTGAGCTTGTAAAACTCAAATTCAGCATTTCAATGTAAACAGGACTGTGGCTATCCTGGAAAAAGAAGTATTTACAGTTGGAGTGTTACAGAGATGGAGAGGGGTGGCGAACGCCGAAAACAACTCGTCTACTCATCAGGAGAAACCTTTTTCCTTTCCTACCCGTGCTCAAGAATCCAGTAATCATGGACATTTATGGAAGCTGCTGAGGATCTGCGAATGATCCATCAGTCCCCTTGCCTGGCTTGGTTTCATTTCAAAGATACTCCAGGCTCCAGCAGGCCTGTTGCACCAGACTCTTGTCCAAAATGGCAGCCTGGTGATGAGGTCTCAGAAGAGAAAGACATTTCTAAAAATGGGTACTGCTCAGGTCCATTATGGTTAAGCTGGCCCCATGTAGCCTCTTCTAGCAGAAGTCCATAATCCCATTTTCCCTCTGAACCTCAGCAACCAGCTGGAAGTATTTTTGTTAAGCTAATGATCACTGTGGAGTGGCTGGGTGCAAAGGAAGGTGCTCGAATCTTACACGGCTCTGATGAAATCAGAATGTTTCCACTGGGTTGAGTTATGCAACTTAATTTTAGAAATCTTTTCAGCCTGGAACTTGATTACAATCTGGTCTGTACTTTTCCTGCAATGCCATCTAAGAATGGAAGTTTATTTAAAAAAAAAAAAATTAAAAACATACATATCTCTCTGAAATATAAAAACATCATTTAAAAACCACACTCCAGGTTAACTGCTAGTTACACAGCTAGACCAGTATCTGCTTAGCAGTGGCGTTTGCATGTCAGAGGTGTAGGGAGTCCAACATTGCAATAGCTGGAGGTCTGAGTTTAGAGAGAGAGAATCAGAACTCTAGACTGTTCGGAACAGGTAATGGCAGCTCCAGGCAGAGGAACAAGCCTCCCTGAGAATGCTCAGCTGAATTTCTTGGGTCTTTTAAAACAGGAATAAATAAGAAAGGTTGGAGTCAAATATCTTAAAGCTGTCAGGAAGGCTGGACAAGCAGGGGGGCTATGATGGATGGCCTGGAACTCCACGTAGTCCACTACTAACAAAAGGCACCTGTTTTGGGTCTGAGGATGGATGTTTTCCTGTGTGAAGTACCATCCACTCCAAAGGCAGAGACTCCCCACTGCTCAGCCAGCCACGTGGCCCTCAGAGAGCCAGAACCCAAAATAAGCTGAAGGCCTAGCCATAAGAAGGAGACAGGTGAGTGCCAGCCCCTACGTGGCAGTGTTGTAGTGGTGTCTGCTGCTTCATGTCACCATGTCCTCACCAGTGTGTTTCATCAGTAAGAGGCTGTAACGCAGCAATGTCTTAACAACGAGCTGAGCAGACCCTGGTAAACCAGCTGTCTGTGTGTCCAACAGCGTTCTAGCTGGGTGTGGAACGTGGGCACAGGTACTGACCTCGAGTTGGGAGGAGGAAGGGACAGATATCTTTGTTCAAAGTCATTCTTCATCCCTTGGGAAGAGATCTTTCTAAAACCATGGTAGACTAGCCCCAGAGATGGCAAAAACCTCAGGTGGTGAGAAGAAGTCTCAGTAAGGAAGAGTTGTCTCAAACTTGACATTGTTCAAGGCCAACAGAAGGTGAGGATGGGAGTCCTGCTTAGCTAAACAGCCCTGCCCTGCTCTCTGCGGCAGCCTGGGAGGCTGGGTGGAAATGGTCCAAGCTGGTAGCATGGTTTCATTTCAAAGATATTCCAGGCTCCAACAGGCCTATTTCACTAGACTCTTCTCCAAAATGGCAGGCTGGCGATAAGGTCCCAGAAGAGAAAGAAATGTCTAAAAATGGGTACTGCTCCTGTCCATTATGGTTAAGCTGGCCCCATGTAGCCTCTTCTAGGAGAAACTACAAACTCACAGGAGCAATACCCACAGGAGCAAGGAAGGCCTCTCCACTGGGACTCAATAAAGGATCTGTTTCCCTTTCCCCACGTCTTAAGTCCTGAAGTTATATGAGAACTTTCTCATCTTGGAAATATACCTATGCATTCATTCATACATATGCATGGCTGCATGTTTATATGCATATGCATGTACTCATGGACTTATGTAGCTTTTAAAGTGATTCTACAAGGGACGTTCTACTTTAGCATTCGTTCTTCCTATGACCTGGTGTATAAATGAGAAGGTTAAGTTCACAAACTATGGTGCTGTAGGCTATAGAAATATCTACTCACAACCTGCTTGTATCTCAGGGGGAGTATTCAAAAGCATCATGGCACTGGCAGCATCAATGTCAGGATCTGGAAAAATCAACCAATAAATAACATTATTTACAACGGGGCCGGTGTGTGTGTGTGTTTTTCCCCCTGCAAGTTACAGTTCATGAATGCAACAGAGAAAAAAAAAATATCCAGGAACTAGATGAGCTATCCCCAAGGCGACATTCTTCCCAGTGGGATCTGAGAAGAAGAAAACGTGTTCTAGAATGAGATTTAAGGATCATGTTAGTAAATTTTTCATCACACAAGCATGGTCTCTTCTCATGTTGTTAATTTTATAATTTGCACCGTATGTTCCTGATAAATTGCTGATCTATGCACCCCCATAGCTTTTACCCCGGGGTGAGGAGCAGGAGAGTAAGTGACAATAGGAAGTTCAGCCATAGGAATCTTTAATGAACTGGGGAAAGCTCACAGCATCAGGAAAGCATTAAACACACCTGCATCTAGTGAGATACAAACAAGACATCTGGTCATTTCCATTTGTCAGCAGAATGTAAGTTGTGTTTCACAAGGTTATGTGTTTGTAACAGCGGTGTGGAGCTGCTGAAGGCATTTAAAAAAAGCACTTAAAATATAAAGAAAAAATTAAAGTTCTGATGTTGAGGGCACAATGTTTGCTTCCACTGCTATTACTGCTTTTAATATGGGTAAAAAAAAAATACTCATCACTTCATTGCTATAATTCTTAATAGGTTTCTGAATCCTTACTGATCCACCAGTTGACAGATGGCAGGTTATATAGAGACAGAGAAAAATATTATCCTTTTATAACTAAATTCATTTTCCTCTGAGAAACAGCAGCTCTGCTGCTATGGAAATGAAGGTCACCATGACAACAGTAAACAACCCCCAAGAATGGTCACTGAATAGGCTGAAAAGAACATCTGCCCCAGCGCAGCGTCCCAGCTGCCCTGGGGCGAAATTCACTAATAGTGCGGTGATGCCGCGTGACAGAAGCTGCCGCCTGTGCCCTGTCCAAATAAATGAAGTGTGCAATTGAAGTCGACATCAAAATGCCTTCCCTTGCAGATTACTGCCTCTGTGTCCGCTAAACCCAATGACTAATGACGGGGGACAAGGGGCTCGCACTTGTCAGTTTTTGTACAAATTACATACCAAAAAATTCAATTTACTACTAATGGCTCCATGGCACTTTATTTTGGGTATTATGCTAGAAAATTACTTTTTTAATGTTTAAAAAAGTACGTTTTTCATACTTTATATGTGTGGTTTAATTCCAACGGAGTAATACGATGTGGTAAAAAGAGGCCCACAAGCAATTAATGATATGGACGACGCTGCTTCCCAAAGACAAGGTCTCAAGAAAGAAAGAAAAAAAAATAGACCTTGACTCTGAAGAGTTTTTTTCTATTTTGCCTGCAGAAGGCCTGTTACTTACACTCCATAATGGACTAAAAGTTTATTTTAATAAGTACATTATATGAGAAACAAGTAAATTAACTTATTTGGCAACTCCAGGGGTGAAATTCCTAAAACAGTCACCATTTCCCACTGATATTAGTATATATATTGTATATGTAAACTACTATATATATTATATCAACTAATATAATTAATCATTAATCAAATATATATAAACTATTATAGATAATATACATATATATAAACTATTATAGATAATATACATACTATATTAGCTATTATATATAATAGCATATATATAGTTTATATATTTGGCAACTCCAGGGGTGAAATACCTTAAACAGTCACCATTTCTCACTGATATTAATATATATTATATATTAATTACAATGCACTTTATATATGTATATTAATATTATATATTAAGATATATTAACCAATTATCATTAATAGTAATATTAAGTCTTTTATATATAATATATAATAAACTATGCATATTATATTAATCATTAATAAAATATATATTATTAATAATAGTATACATAGTTTATATATACTGTATTATATATAATAGTTAATATACTATAAATTATACATAAAATTAGTTTATAATAGTGTCATTTATAGTTTATAATATATAATATAATTTATATATTGTAAATTATATATAATTTGTTATATATTATAAACTATAGTTTATATATACTAGTACATATAATAATATATTATAAACTATTAGTTTATAATGTATATAAGTTCATAACAATATATGAGTTATATAATATATAACATGTTATATGTTATATGTAATATAAACTATATAATATAAACTATGTAAACTATATAATATAAACTATATAAACTATATAATATATAATATCGACTAAGCTTTATACAGTTTATAATAGTATACATAGTAGTTAATATATACTACTATATATAATGGTTAATATGGTTTATATATACACTATTATAAAATAGTTTACATATTAATTAGTTGAATGATTTTATATATTTAATATATATAAAAACATATATTTATTTATATAAAACCATTCAACTAAAAAATTAAAAGTTCTCCCCACTGCCCCTGTGGCTCCCACTGCCCTGGGTCCCTTGGTGCCCCACAGGGCCTGTTGCCTGGAAGTAGCACTCACAGCCCCAGCATTCTTGCTGGCATCTCACAAGTCACAAGGGACAAGCAGTTCCTGAGGGGGGGCTGTTAAGGCCACAGGCCTTTCCCTCTTGCCCCTCCTTTTAGAAATGGCCTTTTCCTTTCTCAGGGGGTAGCCAAGAAAAATGATTTTTTCCTGCCAAGCAAAAGGTCTCTGCCATTACTGAGAATGCAACTGCTACAGGTGACCACGGCTGGCCTGGCTACATGGTCCCTACCTCCACAGGTGACTCGTACCCAAAGTTTTCCTCAGTGGCCAGGAGGTGTGCTGGGCCCAGAACAAGAGGAAACACAGGGAGGAAGTCTGGAGTCTTTTTCTATTTATATGGCCAAAAAATTAAAGGAAGTATTTCTGTATTCTTCAAAAACACATTAAAGGAAATTGTAGAGGGACACAAATAAAAAGAAGACATAGTGAAAGAAAGAAAACAGAAAGAGAGAAAGGAAACCTTAAAGCAAAAGTATCCCATCAATAATCACACATGTGGGAGAACCTAAGCGGGGCATTTCCAAGGCACACTTTGGGGGGTGCTTTGGATTTGTAGAGCATCCACCTGTGACCCCCCACCCCCACCCAGCCAAGCCAAACAGATACATAAACTGAAAAAAAAGCAGCATGCTGAGGGACGTGTCCCCCGTCTTTCCTTCAAACCAGATGTGTCATGCCTGATGCCTCCACAGATAAAAATCCTGATGTGATCATGGAACTAGTGCTGGTCTCCGGTCATTCGGGGCAGGTGCAACCCCCAGCCTTCACATGATCTCATTCACAATGCATTCCTACAGCCCCACTCTCCCTTCTGAAAGGATCAGTTCCTGAATAAGTAGCCCTATGGGCAGAATGGAGCAGAGAGCAAGGCTTGGAATTCTCCTCTCTTGACATCTTAAGTAAGCGAATTGGCAAATGCAAGAACTGCAAATGGTAGGAGAAAATTAAAATGTTTATGCACACTGGCATACTACAGTACCAGCCCTTCCCCAGGGGAGTACAGCGAGTGCCACTGTTTCAAAAGTCAACTTTACTGAGGGATGATTTACATACAAGAACATGTGCCCATTTTAAGTGTAGAGTTTTAAGAGTTCTGACACCACTGTTACCACCATCATCAAGATAAAGAGCATAGCCAAGATAGAGATTTCCATCACCCCAAAGTTTACTTGCACCCCTTGGCAGACATACCTACCCCTAGTCTGGACAACCATGGATTTGCCTTCTGTTATTCATCAAAGATGTGGTGTCAATAGTTCATTCCTTATGGCTATCACTGAGTTGTAGTCACTGAATAGATATACCACAATTCATTCACCGGTAGGTTGACATTGGATTGTTTCCAGTTTTGGATATGATACAAAAGCTGCTGTAAACTTTTATACCAGTCTTTTTTGAACCTGCGTTTTCATTTCTCTTGGAAAATTGCTGGTAAACGTATGTTTACCTTTACAGAGAATCGCTACAGTGTTTTCCAAAGAGGGTGCGTGTACCACGCAGGAGAGTTTCAGTTGCTCCATATTTTTTGTCACTACTTGAAATTGTCAATCTTTAAAAACGTTAGCCATCTAGGGCATATATAGTGATATTTCACTGTGGTTTTCATTTATATTTCCCTAATGACAAATAACCTTGAGCATCTTTTCATGTGCTTGATGGCCATTCGTATCTTACATGAAAAGTCTGTTGAAGTCTTTTATCTATTTTTTAGTTAGGTGGTTCAACTAGTATTCTTCAGTTGTAAGATTTTTAAAAATATTCTGAATATAAGTCCTCTATGAGATATATGTTTTTTTCTCAGTCCATGGTTTACTATTCTGTTTCCTAAGAGTGTCTTTTAAGAAGCAGAAGTCTTCAATTTTTACTTAGTCCAGTTTACCATTTTGTTCTTTTACAGCTTAGTGTCTTTTGTGTTCTAAGAAATCTTAGCCTACCCTAAAATTGCAAAGATTTCTCAAGTGTCATCTTTTTGGTTTTCATTTGTGAGTGTACTAGATATAACACTTTCTGGGTTCAATATCCAGATTGACAGGCAAACAAAAATAGACGTCATCACTCAGACCTCTTTCCTTATCCAGCAAGCTGGTTAAGCACAGACCTAGCACTGTAGATCAATGCCAGAAGGACCCTCTTTGGCTCCTGGGGTGAACACCAAGCAGCCTAATGAGTCTGATAACCTTCTATGGAAAAGTGTCCTGGACTCTCTGCTAGAACATCTCATATGCCTTTCTCCTTGTCACACCCTGACACCCTGTCAGTGCTTCTGTCTTCAGAGCCAACAACCTCCTGTCTCTCCTCTCCAAAGAGAAGAGACGCTATAATGCTTACTCTTACCTATTATTAAAATACTTAAGTTTTTCCCCTCTTTTTAAAAGTCATGAAAGTAGTGTGTGTTCACTGTAAAAAAAAAAAACAAAACAAAACACTGGATGGATATAATTTGAGAGATAAATGCCTTCCCTACAGGCTTAC